GCCCCATCCAACCTGGCCTTGAACACCTCCAGGGATGGCCTCTTGCCCTACCTGCTGCTCACATACATTTGGTTTAACATTAATAAGTCATTTCAGAGAAACCGCTACTGAGTAAAGCAGCCAGATGAGCTCTGCTTTAGATGTTGAAACTGAGAAAAAGAGAAGTGGTCCTCTGTCACCCAGAGCCCCAAATCCAAGCCAAACTACTGTGAGCAGGGACAGGAGGCAGCTGTGTCCCTCAGCTTTGTCCTGGCAGCCACGGCAAGGGGAAGCGCAGCCCGGCAGCAGCGGAGGCTGCTGTGGGGAGCCCTTGGTGGACAGGCGATCGAACGGATGGCTGGGAGGCACTCCCCCCTGCCCCCCCCCACCCCGGCCCTGGCAGAGCGAGCTGCTGCCAGATCAAAAAGCACAGCCACAAGCAAGAGTGAGAGAAGAAAACACGAAAACCACAGCGCATGAAAGAGGCACAGAGAGAGGGAGATGGCTCGCTCTGCATCAGGAGCGGTTTCTGAGTTTTGGGGTTATGTTTTTAGGTTGGGTTTTTTGGGGTTGTTTTTTTTTTCGTTTGGTTTTTTTTTAAATTTTGGTTTCCTCCTGTGTCATGCCGGTGCCGGCCTGGGGGAGAGCTTGCAGCAGCCATCTCCCGCTGGGACTCGGTGCTGGGGGGAGCAAGGGGCTGCTGGCCCCTCTCCCAAGCAGATATTCTCCAGGCCAGACCTGGTCCTGCGGGCATCATCCCCCAGACCGCTCACTACCTCAAGCCCTCCTTTCCCTATTCCTCAGAGAGGCAGGGATTATTAAAAGAAGCCAAGAAGGAAATTAAACCAGTTTAATAAGAAGGGGAAGTTAAAATGAAATGGAAATCAATGTTCACTTGGGAGGGAGCTCTGCTCCTCCGTCGCTAGACGTGGTAATAAATCAAGTATGCCTGGACCGTTTCTGGCACAGAGGCCAACTGGCATGAGATGGTCTGGGCTATTAAACTCACTTAACCTCTAAAATGAACTGGCTACATGCCAGCCACCTAATGGGAGTGGTCCCTGGCCCCTGCTAACACCTAAATGAATCCCGGGAGTTGCTCTGGAGAGCGAGAGTTGTCCCGGGCCAAAAATGTGTCAGGAAATGTTCTAGTAATTTAACAGGACTGATGAGTGTGTTCCAGTGCCTGGGGACATTCCCTGACACCACTTAATTTATGAGTACCACCATAAGATACAGCTGGGCTGCCTGTAAGGAGGCTGCGGGTCTGCCACAGGCATCTGCTAATGAGAGCAACTTGCTTGGTTAACATAGCAGAGCCTCGCTCACCGAGATGCGTGAACTCCAGAGTAGCATTGCCTGTGATCTGACCTGGAGGAGGGATACAGGAGGAGACAGAAAGACAGGGGGTAAATGGGAAGTGGCACGCGTGAGAAGTAGAGATAAGCAGGGAGAGTGAAAGCGTATGAAAGAAATTCTAGCTGAAGGCAACCCATTTTCCCCACTGACTTGTAACATGTAGGTGGTAAACATCATATTGTAGAGATCTGACACAGAGACACAAAGATTAGTGTGAATGAAGTAGGAATGCAGAACGTGTGAAACCTCGAGAAGAAACAGAAAAACAAAGGTGCATCAATCTGCATCTACCGAGCTGCGCGAGGTCAGCAGTTCACCAGTCCCACGGTGCTCTGGTTGTGTGGTTTCACTCAATAACCAGGTAGCAAGAAGGCAAAGAACAAACCAAAGCCATAAGATGACAGAAAAATACAGATTCCCAGCCAAAACAAAATGATGGGGTGTGACTCAGCGATTTCATTTTTACCTGATCCATTACCTTCAGGTTTTTATATAAAGTTTAATGAATTAAAATATTTGAAACCCAGCATTGACCCTGCTAATTTGTAGATATCACTTTAAAGTGGGGGCTGGCTTTTCACATGCTCCCACTGGGACAGGTGATGCAAGTGTGCACAGCGGGGTCAAGGTTTCTCCTGTCGTCTCAGGAATGGATCTTACCCAGGGCCCTACGCCAGTCCTCAGTTACAAATGTTTCTTCAGAGTGAGATGCATACAGATGCCTGTTTTTGCCCCGTTCTTTATTCTGTAGCGTTGCCCGACAAACTGCTCGATCACTGCAACTGCATCTTGTTAGAAATGATCTCCAGTCACATGCACTGGCTCCTTTGTTTTGCTGTTTTTGCACAAAACAGCTCATGCAAATATTCCCTGGGGCTGGGATGGGTTTTTGCTTTGCGCCAGGCAAGCCACAAATCTTCTCTGACTGTGCCTTTGCCATCTATGTCTCTTCTGATGGTGCACATGGCTTCTGCCTTGCTGTTGCACCTGTATTTTTTCGTATGTGTACATCTGCCTCGCTGTCAGATTGTTGGTCATGCTGTCCTGAGCTCCATGTAAATGTAGTGCTGATGTTTTCATTTACTCTTTGATACTTTCATGTGCTCTGATCATTTAAATTAATGTCAACATTAAATTATCCTCTAATAGAATATATTATTTTAATATGGAACATAATACATATAAATATTGTATAAAATTATTCCTGTATTTCTTTTGAGTTCAACCACATTATGACTCCAGCCTTCAGTCTGTCACACTACCTGTGAAAGGAGGTTTCTATTATCAGCTAGAGCTCAGCTTCCAACCAGCCATCCTACTGACTTCTCTGGAAACCAGTGTGAATTTCTTTGTTAGGAATACAGAACTCCTTGGGCTTGGAGCTCTCATCACGTCCCCACTACTTATCAGTTCTCCTTCTTATATCTGATTTTCTCCATTGGTAGCATCCATGGTGTTTTCCCATACTCCATTAAAAGAGGAGTTGGTTTGTCCAGCTTGCTTCCCACCGCTTGTCCCTTGAGCTTTGTCAGCTTCTGTCTGAGCCTTCACTTGAGGAGTTCTTGTGTTTCCGATGCTTCAGCTCACATAATATGCTCATCTATATGCGTTGGCTTTTCCCCAGCCTTTGTTTAAAAAAGTTCCTCCTAACTTATGTGTCAGCAGCCATGTTCTGGTTTAGTTTAAATGAAGCCTCTCTTGCTTTAGAGGAAACCCGCCATGCTTCCTACCTTCCCCAGTTCCTGATGACACCACACCCCCCCTTTCCTTTACAATACTTTCACACTTTGTAACTCTAGCACTCTGCCTCACTCTATGCGTGTTTCTAGAAGCATTGCCAGCTTTGAACTTCCTGCCTTACAAGTTAAGCTATGCCAGTAAAACCTTTTCTGAGTTGTCTCTGTGCTTTCAGTGTTCACACAGCACCCCCCAGCTCCCCTTCACAACCCTGACGTCCTCCAACCTCCGCCTCATCCTGAACAGTACTGACCTCGGAGGTGGGATGCTTCTGAGCTGCCCCAGTGCCTCGTCGGATGGCTCCCTGTCCCCTTGAGCTTCCCCTCTTGGCTCAGCCACCTTGGCCACAAGAGGCCCTTTGGAGGTCTCCGTCTGAGGGATGGCAGATGCCTGCCAGGGACAAGTCCTCATAGGGCTGGCACCTTATACAAGCAACAGGAAAGGTCCGCTCCAAGGGCCCGTTGGCATGGGGAGTGCCTTCTTTTGGAGAGGTGAGGTCACCTCACTGTTTTTCACTTGCTGCCCTGACTGGTTAACCTGCTTGGCTTCCTTTTTGTGATATGTGCTTTGGTTTAGAGGTTGGTAGTCTCCTTGCACCAGTAGCCATAGTCTTCTTTGCCTTGTCAGCCTACCCAGCTGCAGCTGATACCAGCACTTGGTCTCTGCTACAGTCAGATACTTCATCTAATTTGATAACTCACCTTAACAGGTTAGTTCGCTCCCAGTTCCCACTTAAGGTTTTGTTACCATCAATGCCGCTTCTTCTTTCTGAACTCATTCCTCCCTTTTCCCTAAACTTTTTGTTGAATAGTCCTAAGAATCAAGCCAGTCTTTCCAACAACATCAGACTTGGTGGTTATTGAGATTTTTAATGTAAGAAATAAGTAGACAAAACCAAACAAAAGAAAAATATTAATATGAGCCTAAAGATGGCCTTAATCATAGAATCACAAAATCGCACAGAAATATTTAGATGGCAAGGGACCTCTGAAGGTCTCCAGTCCAACTTCCTGCTCACAACTGGGCTGACTCTAAAACTACACCACATTGCTCAGGGCCTTGCCCAGGGAACCTCTGAACTTCTCCAAGGGTGGAG